AACAGGGTTTGTTCACGGTTTCCGTTGTGGCCACACAGGTTTTTCAGACACAGATTTTCAACGTATGAGTCAAACCACCCGGGCCCCTCTGAAAACCCATGTAGGGCTGTTAAAAACTACGTGGGTAAAAATCTAAAATGCGGACAAACCCTGTTTGGACGTATATGGTTTGCCCATAGACATCCACATGGGACCCCCCTCTGCATGCCGGCTGGGATGTGCTCTCTGGTGAGGTTTTGTGTGGTCTCCAATGCTTATTTAACCAGATCGTGACATGGTAGTCTTGGCTGTTGCCTAACTCTGATTCTAGAGGTTCTTGTGTATTTCTTTTCTTTCCTGAGACCAACATTCAATTTCCAATTACTTCAAATATACAGAGAGCGTCTTGAACCGATTGATCATATAACTGATACGTGGTCTGTGTCCTCTTCCTGCAGCCCTTAAGAGGTCCTTTGAGGTGGAGGATGTTGACACTTCGTCCCATTCTTCACCTGGCTCTCGTCGATCAACAAACTCTCCTCACCGTAACGCCATGTCCCCTACAAGCATCTACTGCCGCGACCTGGGCACTGCTGCCCCATCTACCAACAACATCAACTACACTCAGCCACGCTCCATCATGGGTGGAGGAGGCTCCAAGACCCCTGAGCCCGTGTCACGCCGCTCTGAACTCTCCATTGATATCTCTTCTTCTAGCAAGCAGATGGATAACATCACCAGCCCAGCTTCCGCACGGTTTGTGAGCAACAGCGCCCTGAAACGCCCTGAAGTCCTGGGTCACTCCAAGACCCCAGAGATGGGCCACAAGAGGGAGGTGACTTTTGCCAAGACCCTGGCTGATTCCCCAGTGATGCGCCGTAATGAGGGCAACAATAACAACAATGGGATTGCTCGAATCCCTGACATCAATCACACTCGCAAATTGGAACCCCCAAGTCCCGGGGATGTCCGTAGACCTGAAATCAACATCACCAAAGCTCCTCCAGAGAACAACGGTCATCACGCAGCAGTCCACCACCCCCACCACCCCAACCCACACCACAACACCATTGTCACAACCTTCCGCTGCTCCTCACCCAGCCATGTTGGACGCAAGTCCCCTAACCCTGACAGTGAGTATCACAGCCCAACACGCGTTCTTTGATCACCCATCACCATAATGTCTAATACATGCAGGCACCAATAAAGGTTGGTTTATGCTTGACGCATTCACTTTCCGCGCGGTGATGCGGCTCGTAGATGGAACGCACTTCACATCTCGCAGTGTTTATGGTTCCTGCGGCTCGTCTCTGCGGTGAGCCAATATTCTCCCAAACTGAACAGGGCAGCATGGAGCTCTACGGCATGCATCCAACACTAAACTGTAGTAGAAGTAGAAATGACTGTTTACAACATGGCATTCCAGCATTTTTAACAGCGTCCTCGTCTTTTCCGACAGTGCGAGCTATTTCTCTCCAAGAATTATTAACAACATGTTGATCACGGTGATCTCTGAGAGCTGAATCATACAAATGTCTGTATTTACGAACCTCTGCCGTACTAGTTCTTGCCGGTCCGTCATGTTTTTCCTCGTCCGTCCGTCCGCGCGTGGTTAGAAATTTTCCGAGGTGCGCGTTGCGGAAATCTTGGGCCGTGCGGAGGCGCGGTGGAGGGGCGTGGTTGTTAAAATGACGCAAAATGACGCAACTTTTCCGCGCGGAGCCGTGCGGACCTCGCGGACTCGTCAAGCATAAACCAAACTTAACTCTGTGTAAGCTCTCTGAGGCCAGAAGTTTAGAGAATAAAGCAAGTTTTGTTTTCACAAAGTTTAGGGTTTTTAGGCATTTATGTCAGATGTCTTTTGTGATATAATTCGGTAAAAATACAGATAATTCAAACGTGTCTACAGCTATGCAGAGTGAACATTTGCCGTGTTGTTCTTCTTTTACTAGACTTCTACCGTTCACTCTGACATGCTTTCTGTCACCTTCGATTCTAAGAGTTTGTCAGGATGGTTGGTTTCACTTTTCATCCTGTTCCTCGTAGACCGCCCACAGGTCGTTGATGTGATTAATTAAACTTTAGAGTTTCTTGGACTTGGATACAATTTTGGATGTTTTGCTCACAAAGTTAGTTCTGATTTTAGCCTTATATCCTTGTGATTCATTATGGTAAAGGTGCAGTTCACCAACAAGCTGTAGATAGATGGTTGGAGGAGTTCCTCTGGGAGGATGTGTAGGCACCATTCTTTTTTCATGGCTGTTCTGAGGCTGAACTGTCAGTGAAGTCCAATCCCTTGGCTATGTTGAAGCTAGCTTTGTTTTGCAGGTTTGCCATTGAATCTTTAGCTACAGTCCATCTCATCACATTCTGGAATTTACACCAACTGACATCGTAGAAACCAAGGCCGCAAAGTTTGGGAGACTTAACATTTGTCTCTGGCTTCACTCCAGGTCTCATTTTCTAGACTTCCTTTGCTTTGAACTTTCTCTTGAACCTGATACCCTTTCCTGCACATGCACTCACACCGTTAGACCAGAAGGAACCAAATATTAGATCTATTACCTAAAAACAAGCCAGCAACAGGAGCAGCTTGATTAATCTAATGTCTGCACGTCTGCCAGTAATACTAGAAACCGCGTCCTCAGAGGCCCATCTCTCTGCAGATGGTGAAAGCAGACTGACTGTCTGTTTTGGCAGGAATCTGTTTCTTTTGTTAATGCTGTATTAAAGCTGGGGTGGTTGTTCTGATGTGATGAAAACCTGATCTTGCAGAACGAGACCAGCAGGGCAGCTGGGCTCTAATTAGCGTTAGGAAGGCAGTGAAACTTTATGCAGCAGAAAAGGGGAACTTTTCCCCCCTCTGGGTTACATTAGTTTGAGTTCGTATGATAAGAATACAACAAAATACAACTTATTTTAAAATCTGTAAAAGTACTGAGGAAAGCTGCTCATTTTAGAGAATATTCCAAGTTTCTTCTGGTTGGACTTGCTGTTATGTTGGTGAGATTAGATTTTAAAGTAACCAAATAGGTTGTTACCAACACAATATCATGGAAGTCATTGATTTGTTCAGAAATACTTTGACAGATCGGAGATTAGGCCAATCGAACAAAGGCACATTTTGGGAAGTAGAGAAAATGGCTGCTTTATGTAAGTATTTGCAGGGCTAAATTCAATTCAATTCAATTCAAAAATACTTTATTAATCCCAGAGGGAAATTGATTGCTGTAGTAGCTCAGAATAATAATAATCAAGTCATCAAAGAGTTGTTGTATATTACAATGGCTGTTGGCAGGAAGGAGCTCCAGTAGCGGTCAGTGTTGCAGCCAAACTGAAGAAGCCTCTGACTGAAGACACTCTTCCGTTGTCGGACAGTCTTGTGAAGAGAACGCTCAGGGTTGTCCATCATTTTCTTGATTCTCTGGAGAATCCTTCTTTGCATTATCTCCTCCAGCGGTTCTGAAACTGCCAAAACTCTGGCTGAGTCTTTGAAAGGGCTTGGAGTTCCTCCATCTTGTTGGCCAGTGATCTCACATTGCCCATTATGATCGATGGAAGAGATGGTTTGAATTTCCTCTTTCTCTGTCTCCGTTTTGCTCCCGCTCTGCACCCACGCTTCTTGTGTTTTAGCTCATTTGGGATTTGTGGCTTCAGTTGAGGTATTATTTCAGCCTTTCCAATGTTAATCAGCTGCTCCCGATTGTAAACCAGCTTGTTGCCATGGTTACGCATCATAACAAATGCTCAAAAAGTGAAAAAAGTTAAAACATAGCAGTAAAAATCCTCCAAGCTTCACAGCACCAGAAACAGAAAAGTAAAATGTCCAAAAAATACAGTTTTTCTTGAGAAACTAGAAGTAAAGATGCCCAAGAAAAGGCAAAACTTACATATAACCAACAGAGCTACTCCAACATGCAGCCACCCAGAGCAGCGCAGTTCCGGGGGGAAAAAAAAAAGGTGTCACATGTAAAATAAATAGCTGTTAGCTACTACCAGAAAGCTGTAGAATGGATAAATCACAGCTATTAACCACAGCACGAGGTATTTTGTGCTTATCTTCTGATTAAATGTAAACTCCCGCTGATTTCAGGCGATTTGACCTTACGGAGTTTGGCTGAGTTGCACTATTAGTCATGTTGGATGAAATGCTTCATGTTATCGTTTAGCAGATGTTTTGCTGTCACACTGTGAACAATACTCCAGTGTCTCTGCCTGTCCCTGTTCGCCTGTGCTGCAGTATGTCACGCTGAGCCCGTTGTGTGTTTTTAATGCATCTAACCATAAATCTCCCATCTGCGTCTGAGTTTTACACGGTTCTCCTCGACATCGTGGGGGGTTGCAGCTATTTATTTCTCCACAGAGAGAGGCTCAGGTAGAGGGCTAAATGAGGGGTCACCTGGCTGGAAGACCTGAGCAGACACACTCAGTTCAGCTCGAACTCAAGAAAGCTGTTGTAGAAAAGCCAGGTCAGCTGCATGGCAGGACAGGACGTGACACTAACACTCAGTCCTGCACGTCTCTCTCTGAGACAACAGACAACTTTATCGTAATTACAGGTTTACCTGTTGGTTCTATAAGGAATCATAACTGCTATTTTCCATTATTCTGAGACTGTTTTTAAATGTCTTGCCTCATATGTTGCTTTCCTGCCCAGTCAGGTTTTCCATAAGGAAATGACATCACAAATTGGTCATGCTCACACACACACACACACACACACACACACACACACACACACACACACACACACACACACACACTCATAAGCACATAAGAGCACGCTGCGCTTCCTTCCGTGTTCTGTCGACTGTGGTGGTTTCCCCTGCAGCGTGACCCCTCTGCAGGCCACTTCCGCCCTCAGGGGTCATGTGATACAAGTCAGGCGGCGTCCTAGCCCATGCTCCTTTCCACTTTGATCTAAACTTTACAGAGGATGAAACACACTAAGGATGTTTACATGGGAAGGTCAGCATGAAAGGATCTGTAGATAGATGGATGGATGGATGGATGGATGGATG